CAAAACCCTCTTCTAATTATTAACGCGCCTATACTACATAGACACTTGAGACAGCCCGCATATAGGCTCGGGCTCAGGGTGTCAGCTCCTGTGAGTTTCGAGGCCTTTGGGCATCGGGGGCTTGAGGGGGGATGAGTGCTCTAGGGCTCAGGGGGTTTAGGGTTTAGGGCTTTGAGGCTTTATAGGGATTTAGGGGAACCCAGATCAAACTCTCTGGAATAAATGGCGCGTTGAAGAATACGTATTTACCTGTGCCGTGAGAATACATCTGGCTTCGGGCTGCTAAACCCAATGTAGGGGCCTTAATGAGTTTAATAGGGTTTTTGGGCCCATTATAAAATAATGAAACTAAGGAACCCTCTAAACTAGTATTGGTTATTTTTAGGCCCTTACATTATAAACTTACTTGTCCCGTACCCTGGGGGAACTAAAGCTCAAGCTTTGGGACTATGTAGCGATTATTGTACGCCGGAACAGGCGAAGGGTTACCTACTCTACTTCTAAGTATGTCCAGGGCGTTTGGGTTTCAGGCCAGTTTGAGTATCACTAAACCCTACAGACACGAAAAAAAAAACAATAGTTCTAATCCTGAAGACAAAACCCCAAACCCTACTCCTGAACCCTAAACCCCTAAACCCTCCACTGCACTTGGGTTTCAGAGGTCTCCAGCCTAAAAACCCTAAACCCTAAATCCTAAACCTTACACCCTTAACGCCAAACCGTCAGCCAAGCCGCAGCTTCTCACAACCGGGCCCGAAGAGGGAGTCGCAACTCGGGTCCAAGCCTGGGCGTCTGCTTCTTCGGCACCGCAGAGCCCATCTCTTAAACAGTACAAATTCTACAACTAGTTCATTATATATATATATATATATACACACACACACATCTTTGTATATGTAAATATGAACAGATTTTTATATATATATACACACGAATACAGAGGTGTGTAATGATTTTACATAAATATCCATGTGCATAAACACATACACATACCCTTGCAGACATACACTCATACGCACACACACACACA